GCTGCCCCCGTCGTCCCCGCCGCCTTCCCAGAATGGGGCCGGGTCATGGACCGCTGGGGCACGGGCCTGCTGGCCACCATCGCCTGCGTGGCCGAGGCCGCGGCCCGCGGCTGGCGCCTGCCCCCCGACGCCTTCACGGCGCGCATGGCCCTGGGCCCCCACCTCCTGGCCCCCACCGGGGTCGACCTGGGGCGTGCCCCCCGGGAGGGCGACGTGTACGCGGGGTACCACTACGACCTCAACTTCCTGACCGCGCACGGCGCGGCGCGGTACCCGGGCCTGCACGCCTGGCTGCGCTGCGGCCGGCGGGTGGCGGTGCGCATCCCCCGGGGCTGCCTCCTGCTGCAGGCCGGGAAGCAGATGGAGTGGCTGACGGGGGGGCACGTGCGCGCGGGCTTCCACGAGGTGGGAGGGGTGGAGCGTGAGGGGGAAGGGGGAGTTGCAGGGGAGGAGGCGGTGTGATTGGGGATCACTTGCCTGGGCACTGGTCCGATGGGGGGCTGGGAGGGGTGCCTGGACCAGGGGCCCTGGCACGCAGACCACTCTCGTCGACCGCGATTGACCCCGGCCACGCCCCAGGTGGTGTGCACGAGAGGCACCCTGGAGGCAGCGCAGCGTGCGCAGCGTGAAGGCCGCCCGCTCTGGCGCGTGTCCTCCACGGTGTTCAGCCAGATCGGGTCGGACTGCCTGCTGCGGCCCCTGGGACCGTTTGCCACGGAGGCAGCGTGCGCAGCGTACCCGGACACACTCTGCGGGGAGCAGGTGAAGGCGGAGCTGGCGGCCATCAACCTGTCGGGCACATCTGCCCAGGACTGAGGGCATCGAGGTGACGGCATGTGGAAGCGTGAAAGTACGCAAAGGGCAGGAGCCATGCCGGCCAGCCGGCCTGCCTCAAACCCCCCTGACGACCATGCCATGCTTCTCCACATAGATTCCAGGATCAGTGACATGCCCCCCCTGCGTGGTGAAGCCCTCGCAACCATGTGACACAGCAAAATCACGAGGGGGCCATCTGGCATGGCACCCACCAAATCGGAGTATATCATGGCCGGGCGCTGGAGCTGGTGGCTGTGTTTGGGCTCTGGGGCGGCCCTGAGGTGGCCCCAGGGAGCTGTTTGGCCCTCTAAAGGAATTTTGCAGTCTGGCCCCCTCCACTCCACCAGTGTTTGACCTGGATGATATGCCACATTACTTCTCTTCACTCAAGCAATAGGGATCCCGAACGGACCGGTCATCAGGCTGAGTCTTCGTCCTGCCAGTCTCTAAGTGAGAGCGAAGCCGGCGGGCACTGCCCCTGGTATGCCGGTGATGAAGGAGTGGCTCCACCAACCAGCTCGGCAGCAAAGGTACCGTGGCTGCGTCCCGTGCATGGATGAACGCGTCGACCTCTTTGTCTGACCCCTGCTCCAGGACCAGTTTGGCCCTATTCAATCCAGCCAGCAGGCATTCGTACTTCGCCGCTCTCTCATCTTTTGGGCTGCTGGGACCATCCTCAGCGCTCAGCGGCAATGTTGCGCCGCCACTGTCCTCCGGGCACAGGCAATGGGTAGTCTCCTTTGCCAGGTGCGGGGCATCAATCAGAGCTGACTCACCATCTGGGTGGAGCCTCCGGTGGTAGCGATCCATCTTTCTGCGGTGGTCTCTGCAGCGGGGCTTGCAGAACAAGGTGGGATTGGGCCACTTGTGTGTCTTTTCAGCACTCTGCAATCACTCAACGCCATGAACTCACGCTATGTCCTGGTATGTGATGTGGTGTTTGCGGTAGAGGTCTGGGAAGTCATGCAGGAGTTTCCGCAGGCCGTCCGGATGCAGCTTGCCCTGCTCAGGCCAGCCCATTCCCTTCCTCACAATGTTCTGGATGATGATGGCCAACTCCCTGTTGGACTACGTGGGATTGGCATTCAGGAGCTCCGTCAGCTTGTCCGTCACCCAGGAAGACAGACGGTGGCACTGCCTGGTGTCCTCGTCGTGGCCGGTGTGGGGGTTGTGGCGGTAGATGATAATGCTGTCTGTCTTCCTCTGCCTCAGCGTCTTGATGACGAACTTGTGCTGGCAGCCCGTCTTGATGGACATCTCCCGGACCTCGTTGGTAGGCTGCAGCCGCTGTTTCTTGGTGGACCGTGCCGTCCCGGTGGGCGTGTCGGGGCCCCGGGCGCAGGTAGAGTACGCCTTCGCGTCCCAATTCTGCAACAGGCGGTGATGAAAGGGACAATGATTGAGATGTGGCAAGTACAGGAGGTTGCAAGCCCTGCTGAGAGGAGCAGCACATGCAGGTCCGTCGGGGTGGCCGTTTGAATTCGTACCTTGTCAGGTGATCTGTTCTCAACCTTGAAGAAGGTCTGTACTTGCGCATCTCGCCGTGCAGGAAGTCACTAATGCGGTCTGTAGGTATTCTGGCTTGGGTAGAGGGCGCTGCGTGATAGCTGTCCTTCACAGCGACGCCGGCTGCTTCCAGGTCGGCCATGGTGAAGTAGTCCGGTGGGGGTCGTGCAATTTGGGCCAGCCCCTCATGGTAAAGGGTGGTTTATTTCTGCCTCGAGTGTGACTCGGGAGGACTGTCAGGGTGCCTGTCTACCTAGATTTATTGAGAATGCAAGCCTGAGCCCCGGAGGTCGATCGCCCAGGGCGCGAAAACGCACGTTTCCGACCCCCACCGCATCGCTGGCCGGCATCATGTCGCGTGCTCGCTTGAGTGGGGTCTTCGAGCCTGTAAGGATCCCAGGTTCCACGTGCTCCCCACATCTCCAACCAGCGGCAGGCTCGAGTGCCGAGGGATGGAGCGGGCCCTGACCACCTCCTGCTCCCTGCGTTGCGTGCCCTTTGCCCACCCAGCCAGGCACCCGAGGGCTGCCAGAGGTACATTTGGTTTGGGGTTCCAGCCATGCATTGCGTTATCCGATGCGAGGCGAGGGGGCTCGTGATTGTTACACCTACCATCATTCCCTTCCCTAGAATCTGTCCCTCCACTCCACACACACGCACACCCACCCAAACCCATGTGCAGCCCCCCTGCTCCGTGCCATGGCCAGCCCCGTGGACCAGTCCCTGAACCCGCTGGTGGCCTCCCTGCGCCCCTCCGCCACGGTGCAGCTGACCGACACGGCGGTCCGGCTGCGGGAGGCGGGCGTGGACGTGGTGGCGCTGGCGGCGGGCGAGCCCGACGCGCCCACCCCCGCCGCCGTCTGCGCGGCGGGGATCGAGGCCATCGCCTCCGGCCTCACGCGCTACACGCCCAACAACGGCACCGCCCCGCTCCGCGCCGCCATCGCAAAGAAGCTGGCGGCCGAGAACGACATGATCGTGGACCCAGCCCAGGTGGTGGTCTCCAACGGCGCCAAGCAGGCCGTGTGGCAGGCCCTGCTGGCCACCTGCGGCCCGGGGGACCAAGTCCTGATCCCCGCGCCCTACTGGGTGTCCTACCCAGAGATGGCGCGCCTAGCGGGCGCCACGCCGGTCGTGCTGCCCTGCCCCGCCGCCGAGGGCTTCCTGCTCACGCCCCGGCGCCTGGCGAGCGCGCTCACCCCCGCCTCCCGCCTCCTCATCCTGTGCTCCCCCTCCAACCCCACGGGGGCGGTGTACCCCGAGGCCACGCTGCGCGCGCTGGCGGAAGTGGTGGCCGCCCACCCGCGCCTGCTCGTCCTCTCCGACGAGATCTACGAGTACGTGGTCTTCCCCCCCGCGCGCCACGTCTCCTTCGCATCCCTGCCGGGCATGGCGCACCGCACCCTCACCGTCAATGGCTTCTCCAAGGCCTACGCCATGACCGGCTGGCGCCTGGGCTACCTGGCGGCGCCTCCAACCTTTGCCACCGCCGCGGGCGTGGTGCAGAGCCAGTGCACCTCCGGCGCCAGCAGCATCGCGCAGCACGCCGCACTGGCCGCGCTGGGCCTGGGGCCGCACGGCGGCGACCCCGTGGCGCGCATGGTGGCGGCCTTCAGGGAGAGGAGGGACTACGTGGTGGCGCGCCTGCGCGCCATCCCGGGCGTCGTCCTGGATGCGCCCGACGGCGCTTTTTACGTGTTTCCCGACGCCTCGGCCCTGGTGGGGCCGGGCGCTGAAGCCCCGGGATTCGGGCCGGTGCCCACCGTGGCCGAGCTGTGCAGGTGAGGGAAAGGGTGAGGCATGCCTCTGTGTGGGGCGAGGTGTGAGGGAGGGGTGATGGGCGCGCGAATGGTGCTCGGCAGGGAGAGCACCACCAGCTGATGCACTGTATAGAAGGAGTGTGCCCCATTGCTCGAGACTCCGTCGTGCACCTGAGCAGGTGCATGTGCACCTTCATGCACACACATGCACCCACACATCTCTGCCCCGCTCTCAACCCCTCCCCGCAAAAAGATACATCCTGGAGGTGGCGCACGTGGTGGTTGTCCCCGGAGAGGCCTTTGGCGAGCCGGCCTGCTTCCGCATCTCCTACGCGACCTCCATGGAGCAGCTGGAGAAGGGGCTGGACCGCATCGCCGCCGCCCTGGCGCCCGAGAAGCTGCAGCGCCCATCCGACGTCGCGGCGTGAGCCTCGGCACGTACCCTTGCAACTGCTCCGCCCCGATTCCCCCTCACTGCTACGGTGCCTGCCCTTCCATTTTGTCAAGCCGTTCATCGTGACTGTTCCACTCTCAGCTGCAGGTACCTACAGCCAGACACGGCATGCTGCTTGGGCATGGGTGAGGCATGATGCATGGCCACCGGCCAATCACCTCCATTTCAGAGGATACATCACACCTGGTCACTCGTCGTCATCGCTGTCCAGCAACACGGTCCTCTTCTTGGCACGGGGGGCGGTAGCCGGCGCGGGGGCCTGCTTGGGGGCCGACGGCTTCCGGGGCGGGGCCTCTGGCTCATCGTCGTCCGGCGCCAGGAAATCCTGGATGGGGTGAGGGGAGGGAGGCCTGAGTCGATGAACTGGAGAGCGATTGTCCGGTGTGACCGCACAAGGTGACCAGGACATACTACACTCTGATTTCTGGGAATATGCCCCACCCCTTGTCCCCACGCACATCGAGATTGTCCTCCTCGCTCAGCCCCTCGTCCTCGCTGTCGATGGTGCGGGGCCGCGCGGGTGCCGGGGACGAGGCCGGCGCCGCCCTCTTGGCACCCACCAGCCGCGCCGCCGCACGAGCCTGGCGGTCGGGGGGGAAGGGGTCCGGGGGGGGAGTCTCTTGACCGTTTGGAATCAACGACATTTGAGAACACAGTGTGTCCCCGTGCTGCCGCTGAGATTTGATTCCGCCCCGCCCACCCAAGCCCCTCACCTCCGCCTCCTCGCTGTCAAGGCCCCGGGCGGCCACCCCACGCGGGCCGCCACGCCCCTTCGCATCGACGGCCTCGTCGCCGAACAGCGCCTCGTCGTCGTCCTCCTCCAGGTAAGCAGAGGAGAGGCGCGGCGCGCGCGCCGGCGCGGCCGGCGGCGCGAAGCGCCGCATCGTGCGCGCCTGGCGCTCGGCCAGGCGCTCGCGGTCGCGGATGCGGCCCTCTTCCGCCAGCTCTCGCTCGCGCTTCTGGCGCGCAGGGTCGGCCAGGGTAGTGGTCCCCTTGACGCGGCCCACTCGCGCGCTGGTGCCCTCCACGCTGGCGGCCAGGCGGCGGTGGAAGCCGCTGGACAGGCTGGCGGGCTGGAAGACCAGCTTGGAGAGGAGCTGGCCCTGGCCCTGCGAGGGAAGGAGGGAGTGGCTTGGGGAATAGGTGGGAGGCACTTGTGAGTATGTGCAGAGAGGGGTGGGGGTCCCGTAAGGTGCCCACCATACACGGGGCGGTTTTTTGGTATGGAGCCGACACGAAGAGGTGAGGAGAGCCTGGGATCTGGAGGGCAGGAAGAGATGGCAAGGAGGAGCCCTCGCCAACGGATAGCTTCCCCTGCCCCCAAGAACCACAAGACACTGCACACTCGCGCATCGCCCGGACCTGGATGACTTGCGCATGCCGGGCGCAGAGGTAGTTCTGGTCGCCGCTCACGTCGATGTCCCGCACGTCCAGGACCTCGGATCCCAGGAGCAGCTGCTGCGAGCCGTCGCTCCAGCGCACCAGCCGCGCGTTGGAGCGCTGCACCGCGGCGCCAGCGGCGTCCCGCCCCCAGCGCCAGCGGATGGTGGTGTGGTCCCGCAGCCGCTCCCGGGCGGTGCTGGCCCCGGCCTCCGCGGCAAAGGCCTGGGCGTCGAAGGGCCGAGCCTCGATGCCCAGGATGTTGCTCATCTTGACCAGGTGCAGGGAAGAGGGGAGGGGAACGCTGTGCAGCGGGACCTCCACCTCCATGGGCGGGCCCCGGTCTGGCGGCGGGGCCCTGTGTGGTTTGGGCGTAGGGTAGTGTCGAGCTGTAACGGCCGGACATCACGCAGACACTCTTCCCAAGCAGCCCATGCGCCGATTGATGATGGGTGGGGGCATCTTCGACCCTCAAGTCCACTCTCCAGCAGGCCGGCAAGGTGCCAGTGCACCCTGAATGCCCCAGCCACACCCCACCATAACCAGCACATACTCTGACAAAAAACAGCCCACACTCTGCCATACCCACCCTAAGCCATCGTCTGCGTCGTCCCAGGCCGTCGCATCGCCTCCCTGGGAGGCTGCCTCGTCCTCATCGTCACTGCCAAACAGGTCCCGCATCTGGTCTTGCTCAACAGGAGCAGGTGCCGGTCCCGGACCCTCGTCATCTGGCCCAGCCTGGGGCGCGGTCGATGCGGGCAGCGGTCCATCGTCATCCTCAGACTCGCTCCCAAACAGCTCCCGCATGCGGTCGCCCTCCTCCGCCATAGTGCCGGTGCGGAGAGGAAAACCTCTCCCCGGGAAGGGGAGCGCTCCCGCACCTGCAAGGGATGCCTGTGCTCGGGTGTGTGACTACCAATGCTAAAAGATGCTTCCTGAGTATTTATTTCGTAAGTTTTTTGGGAAGGGCAAAGCGAGCGAGGAGCCTTGATTGCAACTGAGAGACCTCAAGGTCTCCAACCCAGGCACCAGGGCGCGAAGATCGTTAGTTTACTACACCTAAAACTCCCTCAACCCGAGTATCCTGTCCACTCGAGAGGCATCAACCACTCGACCATCGAGAGGGCAAGCCTTTCCATACGCGAACCATTCAGGAGGGGTTGCTCCCGGGCAAGTGTGTCGCCATGTCGCTCGCGGTGCTCAGGACCGCCCTGCGTTCTTGGCAGCCGCTCGCACGATGCATGGCCACCAAGGAGATCGCTAAGCCTGCATCTGATGCCGTCGCGGTAGACCAGGATGGCACCACCATCCTCTACCCGGCCCAGGCCTTCAAGGGGGATGTCCGGTCCACAAGCGGGCTGGGCATGGGCGACGGCCTCACCACCCACACCAGCAAGTGGATGGACGTGAGTCACAGAGTCTAGTTAGCGCTCTGGTGTTGACGGTAGAGAGTCGTGCTCTTGCAGTGGACGGGGCCTCTGCTCAGTACACACAACCATTTCCATCGTCGAGAGGCACCACCCACTCCACAGCAATGCCCCCTACATGCACAGGGCAACGGCAAGTCCCCGATGGAGTACATCCAGGCAGCGGAGCCAATCAAGGTTCACGGCCTGACCGTGGCATCGTACGGGAGTGAGTTTGGATGGCGTACTGCAAGGCTTGCCCGAGGCCCTGGTATGGGATCTGAGTGCGGGGTTGAATGCTCTGCCTTGAACAAATCCCTCTGCACCCCTCTGGTCCAGGCGACGACCCTGCCCTGGGCTGCCCTGTGGAGTACATCACCCTGAAGGGCACCTCCCGTGAGCACCCGGCGGTGTGCAAGTACACCGGCAACAAGTACTACAGCGATGACTGGGTGGGGGGCGGCGCCCACTGAGCGAACTCACGTCCCTGCAGGCTGCATGAGTGTGCAGGCTGCCTGGCAAGCTGATGCTGGTTGCGTGTGCAATGAAATGTAGCCCAGACCCCTCGGGCCTGTAACCAGCCTGGAACGCACAACGCCCGCAAGCCTGCGCATCGTGGGATGGCAGCAACACATCGAGCTGCGCCCCTGGTGTCAGCGCCGCCTCTTTGGGAGGCGTGCCGCGTTGCCAGGCGTGGAGCCCTCACCCATACTCTCCAGACTGAACATCTCGCTCTCATCCGCAAACAGGCCACTCAAGCCATTATTCTGCGAGAGGATAGGTTGGGGTGGCGTGCTGACGAGAGGTGCATATGGGGATGACGCTCTCGTGGGGTGGTGCAGAAGAAATAGGGTGCTCATAATCCATGCACACATGCACATCACACTACGCCCTGGGTGCAGGTAGGGGCGGACTCGGCTTGCTCCATGCCCCCTGTCACATCCACCTCCCAGCACGTACCGCCGGCCCCTCCGCATCTGCTTCATGCACGGCTGCAGCGCCCTCCCGCTTGGCCTGAATGTCGGCTGCGAGCTGCGCCTGCTGCGCCGCCTCTGCAGCAGCCCCCTCCACGGCGCTCTGCAGAGCGGCCTCCACGGCGGCAGCGACGCCCCTGGCGCTGTCCAGCCTGGAGCAGATCAGGGCATTGGGTGGGGGGTGTCGATACCAGTCTGCCCACCGGCCATCGGCAGAACTGCAACACAATCTAATGCGCAGATGATACAATGCCACGATGCTCCTGCACCCCAGGCCTTGCGGGGCACAATGGCCCCAATTTTGCCCTCCATGCTGCACCCACCAGGCCCCAAGGGATGCGGCGATGGCACTCAATTGGGCCGGGCTCGCATCCCTTGCCACGCTCTCCTCGACGAGGAGGCACTGCTCTGCCTGGTCCAGGCGGCCACGAACCAGCCCCGCGCCGATGCAGTTGGTGACCAGGATGTCCTCCAGATCACGCACGTCCTGCAACCCCAAGGCGGGCAGGAGCTCTGCATAAGCCAGCCTCTGATGCCCAGGGACGGAGGAGGGAGGAGGGGGGGTTAGGAACGGGAGTCTCAGCCGTGCAGCAATCATGGCAAGTGACGATGCCACCTTCAGGCAGGGACGAGAGCAGGGGCGCACCGCATGCCCTGACCAGAGCGCATGTTTCCAAAGCGCCCCTCACCCGTCTCGAGGCCGCCAAAGACAGCACGGTCAGTGCTCTGAGCTTTCTTTCTTGGGCTGCTGTCAGACGCAAGCCGCTGGCCTGGCCTGGTGGTGTGGCAGGCCCCAGGGGGAAGTTTGTGATGTCAGGGTTCAGACCCAGAAAGGGGCACCTTTCTCCCAGACGTCGCTGTATGCAGCTATAGCGCCCTGGAGCGGCCATGTTACCTGAATAATCTTGCCAAGTACCGTAGGAGAACAGGTTCAGCAGACTCAGAGCGGCAGCATCCTCAGTGTTGGAGAGCTGCGGTGGGGCAGAGTGAAGGGAGGTGTCAATTGCGTCGTCGGTGTCCAACCGCGTGGTGCCGCCATGGAGGTAGCACCCCCAGGGTCTCCAGTCACCCAATCTCACCTCCTGTACAGCTGTGAGGTGGAGCAAGTCCCCGAAGGTCGCCAGGTCTGGTTCCGTGGTGGCGCGCGAGATCAGTTCGGCTAGAGGTCGGCCCCGCAGAGATCGCGCGAGCTGGGCATACTGCACCCGCTTGATGTCGGACGGCATGTGGCAGAGTTTAGGATTGGTAACAGCTATCTCAGCAAGGCCATCTCACCAAGCGCTGTGCCAGGTAAGCTCTGCCACTCCTCCACCCGGGAAATTCGGAGGGCCGAGCAACGTATTGATGAGATGGGCAAGGGACCTTTGCGAGTTCCGGTGACCGGGGGTGTACAGAGCTACAAAGTGCACGCCTGGGTCGCAATCGCGCTCATGATCACCGCATGCTCTGCATGGGGAGGTCGCATGACATGGCGCTGATCTGGAGCAGTCGAGAAGCATCCTGGCAGTAACAAGCTTGGTATTGAATGTCCCCCATTTGCATGTGCGTGAGCCCCTCGGTGTCCGTCGCAGCTTCTGGCAGCATGACGTTGGGGTCGGTAGGGGCCTGTTCTTCGCACCGCCTGTGCCTGTCACCCACATCGCCTCCATGCGAGTCGCATCTGAGAATATATCAATCTCGGATAACATATTCGAGCCGATTATGTAGGACTAAAAAGCCCTCGCCATGTACCCTGGCTGCTCTGTCCGATGGCGATGACATTCTCAAAAAGTACGGCATCGATGCTGCTGTCACTGAGGTGGCCCCCAGCGCCGTCCCCTTAAAACCCCAGGCGCCACGTGCGAGGGTGCCGGCGCAGCGCAGGAAGGGCATGGGCAACGGCGTCTTCTCCCTGCTCCTGCTCAACTTTGGAGTCTTTGCGGCCGCCCGCCTGCTCAATGCGCCCATCCTGGCAGCCCTCCCGCTGCACCACTGGGCGCCGCAGTGGTGGCAGTTCATCACCGCGACCTTCTGCCATGCCAGCTGGGATCACCTGAGCGGGAACGCCTTCTCCCTGCTCATATTTGGGCGCATAGGTGTGGAGGGTGGTGTTTTTTGGAGCCTGCCTCAGGTCGTGATGATGCACCCCGCTGCCAGCATCGGAGGCCGAGGGGTTGGATAGCTGCTGGGGGGCCGTCCACATTTTTCACTCCATGTGCGTCACATCATGCAGACATGTTACCCCCTATTGAATGACTGCCTGCCCTGGAAACGCCCTTCACCCACCCCCCACCAAACCCCAAACCCAGTCGAGGACGAGGAGGGGGGCGTGGGCGTCTGGGCGACCTACCTCCTGTGCGGGCTGGGGGGCTGCCTGGCCTCCTACTTCTCGGCTCCACACACACACACCGTCTCGCTGGGGGCCTCGGCCGCCGTGTTTGGCCTCTTTGCCGTAGCGGTGCTCACCAAGTTCAAGCCCACGCTGCGGCACCTTCTGGAGGCTGTGGTGCTCGGCACCTTTGTCATGAAGCAGCTGCTCAACGTAAGTCGGAGTGAATCGAGTGTGGGCTGGTCAGCGGGGGGTACCGACCAGCGGTGCTCGAGGAGGCTGGCTTGGGGCGAGGGTCTGGAGTCTGCTGGGAGACATGGGGCCTTGCTGCTGGGCCTCGATCGAATGGGGATGATGTTTAGGTTTGAGGCACCGGGGTCCACTAGGTGAATACTCATGATCATAAACTCGTTTGCCCTCCAATGACCCCCGCGCCCTTCCCCATCCCCCTGCCCACCCCTTCCCCGGGAACAACAGGAGGTCCACATGGTATCCAGCGGGAGGGCGTTGACCCTGGCCGGGGTCCAGGTGGGCCACCTGGCTCATCTGGCGGGCGCCCTCGTCGGCGTCGTCCTTGTGCTGATCCTGTCCCGCCTGCCCAGCGGCGAGGAGAAGTGAGGTAGAGCCTCAGTGTTGCCTGGCATGGAGCGTACAAGTTACAGTAATTGCGATCAGCATACTCAAATGGGGGAAAAGGGGTTCCCTGAGTACCAAAGGAGGGAGAAGGCCTGGGATATGTGCATTTGGTCGAGGGCGCCAGAGAGGGAATAGTTCTGGCGCAGCAGCCTGGATAATAGATACTAGTGATGGGACGAGTCCTGGTATGGAATGCATATCCTGAAGAAAGCTGCGTCCCGGCTTGGCTGTAGCCATAAATATACTGGGACCGGGCCCGGGAGAATTGCGCGCAGTGGTCCCAAACACTGGCCATGGATTGAAACAATTTGCCTTGCCCCCCGCATCCAGCCCCTGCCCAGCCCTGGTCCCATACTGTAAGCCCCACCAGGCGCCTACATGCCTAGCTGCGCGCCGCCCACTGCCCACACGACGTCCTGCGGGGTGAGGACGCCGTGCCGGTTGCGCCCCCGCCCGTGCCAGCTGGCGCTGTAACGGTGGTAGCCCACGACGCCCGGCGGGGCGGCGCCCGCGCCGCGCGCGATGGCGACGGCCCGGTGGCACCGCCGGTCGTCCCAGGCGCAGGGCGTGAGGAAGGAGCCCAGGGGCCAGACGCGGAGGGCGCCGCCGGCATGGCTCGGCGCGTGGAGGCCGGCGAACCCTCCGGCGCCGTCGGGCAGGCCCAGTGCCCGGCGCGCGGCGGCCGCCAGCACGCCCGGCCCCGTCTGACGGTCGATGGGCAGGTCGGCGCGGGGCGCGCGCCGCTCCAGCTCCCCCGCCACGTCCAGCCAGAGCTGGTGGCCGGGGACACTGGCCATCGCGCCGTTGGTCACGCCCTCCATGGGGCCGGTGCCCTGGCGCAGTGGGGGTGTTTGGCTTATTTTGGTGGGGGGGGTGCTCATCTGCTGCGGCCCCCGAGTGCCTCGTGTACTCCACAGAGACAGCAGCGCGGCCCTCTGTCACCGAACAATCCCGTCTCACCTGCAACACCACGTCGGCCCCTGCCAGCATGGGCTCCAGGGGTGCAAAGCACTCGATGTCCAGGTCCAGATACACCCCTCCGAGGGTGTGCAGGAGGAGGGGTCGGAGGGCGTCGGAGCGACTGACGGGGTGGTCGTAGGACAGGAAGGTGGCCAAGAAGCCGGGCCAGAACTGCAAAAGGGGGGGAAGAGGTTGATGCGGCAGAGGGGAGTGGGCGGGTCAGGAGTGCACGAGCGGGGAGGGAGGGAGCCCCGCAGTGCCCTGCTGTGTGGGCTGCTGAGTCAGCATAGCTGCACAATCCACACAGCAGACGCTACCAAAAAAGGCTTTCTTCAATGATTCATGTACCCAAAGATGCCTGCACGCGCCCTTCGGCCATGACCCTTCCCTGCCTTGGCCCCCCTCTGTCAATCCCCCTCCTTGATCATGCCTCAGTCCCCACCTTGGCGACAAAGGCCTTGGCCTCAGCCTCCCCCCAGAAGACATGCTCCCAGTGGGGATGGAGCCTCAGGCAGGACTCGCTCCACGCGGGGTTGGTGGCACTTCCTTTCCCCTGTGCGCCGCGGAGGAAGCTGGCACGGTCCGGGAAGTAGATGTGGTGCAGGATGGGAGGGATGGTGATGGTCAGGTTGCTGGGCTGGCAATGTCTGCCCAGCTGGGCATGCATCCATTGGACGGCGTCCGATGCACCACTGCCCTCCAGCGGGGTGCACGGCGGAGGAGGGAGCTGGGTCTGTCCATCCGCATGAGGCTGGGGTGGGGCAGGGTCTACCTGGAGGATGCACAGGCCCAGGAGCAGGCCGGCGATCGCGCAAATGCAGAACACACGTAAGATCGCGTGGTGCATGGGCAATGAGAGGGTCGAAGCCCCTCACGCACCGGCTTCTGCACTGTCTTTGGACGTTGCGATGACGCGCATCCAAGGTGCCGGTGCCCCAGCCAGTTGTGAAGCCGGGGGGCCCACCTCCGCTCACTCCTCGCGGAGCACAGGGTCCGTTCCTGCAGCCCAAAGGCCTTATAATGCTCCAGGTCCTTGGGTTGGATTATTCTGCAAGCCCATCTCGACCGATCCCAAACACGGTACAGAGCAGCACGGTCACGTATGTGCGTCTTGATCCCGGACCACTTGAAAAAGCAATCGTCAGGCACGCACAAGTGCGATCATAGACTGCGGCCACGGAGCAATTGAGTGCCGCCCACACTTTAGACTGGTGTGCAGTGATTATTGAAATAATTTCTGCACCTCGAGCCCAACCACTGAAAGGTGCCGCTGCGCGTCTCGCCAGGAGTGGTCCCGGGATGGGACAAACTACCCAGGCCTCTCCGGCCCTGCACTCCGCTTTGAAGGACATACACAACGTCCCCAACTCTTCTGCAGCGCGTAAAGTATCCCAGCACAACGCTCTAGGTGCGCGATGACTGTGAGGGTTCCGCCCTGTGCCTGCCAGCACTCTGGGTCGCCCCTGTGCACCCGATTGCAAGGCACAGCAGCACACATCCTCTTCCCCAGCACACGCCTTCTGTACAGACGTCACAGACCTGCTAAAAAGGCGGATGCTGGCCCCCAAGCTGCGCTGCACGGCTGAGGAGGCTGGCGTGCGCGTGGAGGTTCCCCCGCCCGACGCCGCCGCCACGGAGGACCACCTGCAGTCCAACCCGGTGTACTCCCCCGCCAACTCCAGCCTGGCCCACGCTGCCTCCCGCCTGGCAGCCCTGCGTGCCTCCCGCCAGGCCGCACCACCCGCCAGCCCCCACAGGCAGTCCGCCAGCGCGCCCTGCAGCCCCAAGGGCGGTGCACCCGACCAGGCCAGCGGCTCCCCGCCCTCGCGGGAGGACGGCGCGCGCGCCGCGCGGCGCTCGCACCGCGCCAGGCGCCAGTCCACGCGCGTGGCGGTGCAGCGCTACGGCGAGTGGTTCACGGGGGACGACCAGGAACTGGACCGGAAGCTGGCAGACTACAACCTGGACGTGGCCGCCGGCAGCCCCATGGCAGAGGTGCAGCAGGCAAGGCGCGCCGCGCGGCGCGAGTCCTGGATTGCTCGCACCCAGACCTACGCAGGCTCCTCTGGGGCCTCGCGCGGAGGGGTGCGTGCCTAGGTGTGGGTGGGTTGGAGAAGGGGCTTGAGGAGGGATGGGGGGCCGAAGAAAATCACTGGAACACACTCGCAGCGGAAACATGCTCGGGTCGCTCGTGGATTTCAGTCCATCTATCGGGACCCAGGGCCTCCGCACGCACCCAGCATAGCTTGTCCTCCCGACCCTCAAGCCCATAACACGCCCATCCACAGGATGATGTAGCTGGCCAGGTGGCAGACGTCGCTGCCCAGCTGTGCGCCCAGCTGGACCAGCTGGTGCCCGAGCAAGAGGCCGCGGAGGATAGCGCGGCGCCGAGGATGTCCCTCCGAGAGCAGCTGCAGGCGTCCTGGAACGGCAAGGTGGGTCCCCTTTGCAACGTGGCGCTGCTGGGCCGTTGGCAGATGGCGAGGCCTGGCGCCTTTTGTGAGGGAACAGAATAGGGTGTTCAGCTTGCCATATTCCCCGCCCTCCCCGCCCCCCCTGCCACCTGCTCCCCTCCTCTGCGCAGACCTACTATGAGCGCCTGGCGGCCATGACCAGCGAGGACGCGGCCGAGCTCGAGCCACCGCGTTCAGAGGCAGTGCCGGCGAGCGACGTGCGCCCGGCGGAAGCCCGGTCGGCGGCTGCAACGGAGATCAGACGGGAGGGGCACGCCATGCCTGCCTCCCCAGCCCCCCATGCTCGCCCTGCGACCGACGGCGCCAGGTCGGGCGGGGTATCGTCGCCCATGCCCGACTCCAAGACGCCCGGCCGCGCCCGCAGGCTCTCCACCTTCAACGACCTGACCGAGGGGCTGAAGGCACTGCGCGTGTCCGGCGCCGCCCGCGCCCGGCGCAGCAGCCTGGGCGGCCTGGTCAAGGCGCTCACCCCCACGCGTGCGAAGGAGGGCGTCCCCACGAACCCCGTCAGGGCGCCGCCCCGCCCGGCGCCGGCCTCCCCGGCCCGCAGCAGACCGGCGCCAGCCTCTCCGGCGCACCTCTCCAAGGCCCCCGCCTCCCGTCTGGTGGCACCCAGCCCCAGTGCGGGGCAGCGGACCCCGGCGCGGACCTCGCGCTTTGCAGAGGAGGGGCGTGAGTTCGGGCCCCCCGTGACGGAGGAGCTGGCGGCGGCCAGCGCCGCCGTCGCCGACCTGCAGGCCCGCCTGGCAGCTGCGGAGGCTGCGGCCGCGGAGGCCGCCGAGGGCGCGCGCCGCAGCGCGGCGGCCGCCTCCGCGTCGCACACCCAGTCCGTGCTGAGGTGCGGGCGGGGGGTGTGGGGTGGTGGAGGGGGGGCAGATTCATGAAGGCGCGTCTGGACTCGGTCTGCAGTCTGGCAGGGGTGCACGATCGAGGAGGCGGTGCACCGTAGTCACCATACACGGGAGGCCTGCGAGGGCACGTCAACCAAAGCGCCTCTCTGCACGCCCTCTCCACCCGCCGTCCCCCCAAAACTTGCCAGGGTGTCGGAGCGGGCTGCTGAGCTGGCAGATCGCCTGGAAGCAGCAGAGTCGCAGCTCAGCGTGCTGCTGCGCGCCGCCAGCAGCCTGCAGGCGGTGGTCAAGGAGGCGACAGCCGAGCTGGAGGAGGTCCGGGGCATGCTGGCCTGCGCTGTGATGGGGGTGCCGGGGTCAAGAGACGGGCCCGGCCAGCAGGCAGGCGGCCTTCCCCCGCGGAACCCCGCTGGACGGAGGGCGGGGAAGGGCGGGGGCTGGCGCTGAGTGCGAGGCCCTGCTCTGCCCCACCGTTTGCGATGTCTGGCCCTGTCGGCGCTGCCTCCCACCCCCCCGCCATGTCCGTGCCTGCCTGTTACAACCCTGTTGCATGCGGCACCGCTCCGAGACACGCGCTGGTCTACCCGGCTGGGTGCAAAGAAAGTGCGTATCGCCGCTCGACAAAATGGGAGGGGGGTTCAAGGTGCAGCATGCTGCGCATCACACATAAATAATCGGTCAGAGGGTGTGGGAAGGGGGACGTGGCGGGACGCAGAAGGCCCATGCAGCGGATCGGCTGCTCCATGTGCATGCGGGATGCAGCGTGCGGGTGGGAGGGAGGGTTCATCGGCCTGGCACTTCCTCCCTGCTGACCTCCTCGGCCCCGCTCAGCCACCGGCCCATGCTCAGGAGCGAGTCTCCGGCTCGCCGGGCTCCGCACCCTGGCCGTCCTCAGCCTCCTCGTCGGCCGTGCGGCCGCCGCCGGCCTCCCGGCCCGGCCGGCCGGCGGGGATGGTGTCGCGTGGCGCCTCGGCGCTCTCCGCGGCGTCCACGGCCGCCTGCTTCTGGCCGTCGCTCTGGGCCCCAGTCCCCGGCAGCGCGGCCTTGGAGGCGGCGGCCGGCCCGGCGTCCTTGTCCACCGCCGCGGGCGGTTCCGGCTCCGCCGCCGCGGCCGGCGCGCACGGCTGCGGCGTGGGCGCCCCAAGGTCCCAAGCCCCTCCTGGCATGGAGAAGATGGACAGGATGGGGCTGAGCACGCCCGGGGCGGCGGCCGCCACCCGGCTCGAGGCCTCCGACCCGCCGCTGGTCGACCTGGCCAGCCGCGGCGCGGGCTCCCCGCCGCCGCCACAGTCCACCTGCAGCGCCAGGGACGGGCGCAGGACCGCCCCCGGCACGCGCGACGCCCGGCCCAGGGCGGGGAGCTCCCTCCAGGCGCCCAGGCGGCAGGAGGGGGGCCCAGGGGAGCACGGCATGTCGAACACGGGGTTCTGGGCCAGCTGCAGCGCCCCGACGGGGACCGCCAGCGGCAGCGCGGGGGGGGAGGAGGGCTCGTGCTCCAGGTGGGCGGGCGGAGGGCCGGCGCCCGTGCTGGTGCTCCTCGCCAGCCGCCCCGCCGCCGCCGTGGGCCCGAAGCGCGGGCCGCAGGCAGCGGGGGCGCCGGGGTGTGCGGAATCGCTGCGCTCCACGTCGCCCCACAGGGCCTCCGCCAGGTCCTCCGCCGGGTCCTGCCCAGGCGGGGCGCTGCGACACGAGGCCCCCGTGCTGGACTGGGGGCTGGGCCGGGCGGACCCCGTCGGGCCCACCACCAGGGGCTGCGTGGAGCGAGGGCGCGGGGAGGGGGTGTTGAGTGGGGCGGCGGCGATCGAACGAGCGCGCCCGGCATCCGGCCTGCTGCGTGTGGGGTTTCAGCGCTTTTGCCGCACCCCTGAACCCCTCCCGCCCACTGCCAGCCCCACCTCCTTGCACGTCGCCAGCAGGTAGATGCCGCCCAGCAGTGTGGCGGAGCCCAGCACAAACATGGCGGTCGACAGGACGGTGAAGGTGCGGTACTCCTGCAATACAGGCACGGGTGGTTTGCTGTAAGAAAGGGGGAGTGCTGGGGAGAGGCTTTGGCTGTGCAGGGTCGGAAACGGGGCATTGCGATTTCGAAGTGGGACAGAAGGAAGGGGCCTCCAGCTCAACTCCGAGGCCCCAAACTCCCTGCCACCACACCCAATCGTGATGCACCCACCTGGAAGTACACCATGCCCGACAGCATGGAGATGAGGACCCACATGATCATCAACATGGGCATCATGGTGAGCACCGGGAAGCGACGCATGGCTGTCGTGCGGGAAGGGAGGGGTAAGGTGACGCGGCTGAGGGAGCTCGGGGCTCATTGCGCGTGGCCCTCCTCCGGCATGCTTCATTTCTACAAAAACACATAGACAGCCTCTTCCCGACCCCACCATCACCACCACCGCCGCCGCTCACCCTCAGAGTACTTGACCACCCAGAAGGCGGCAAAGGCCAGGAAGAGGAGCAGGGCCACGTAGGTGTACCAGTGCGTGAGCTGCGTGGGGCCCTGCAGCGACTTGCGCAGCAGCATGGCCAGGGACTTCCCATACACAATGCTCTGGGTGCCCAGCGCCGCAGCGTACACCGCAAAGGCCAGGGGCACCCAGTGGTGCCACTTGGGGCAGCCCCTGTGTGGTGGGGGGTTTGGGGGTTAGAAGGGGTGAGGTATGGGGTTTAAGAAGGGGTGAGGGATGGGGTTTGAGAAGGGGTGAGGGATGTGGCATGAGCATGGGCATTTGGGGAGGGAGGCCGCGTACGCAGAGACAAACATTGAGTCACTTAAAGCCCGAAAGAACAGTACCAACCTCTCGTAGGCCTTGCGGCCGTAGGCATGCACGCCAGCCGCCACCACCGCCAGCGTCAGTAGCCCCACCAAGTAGCCAATGTATGCGGGTCTGTGGGCGGGTGCGCAGTGGGGTGATATGTTTGAATGCGGAGGGTTGCTGCAAAAAGGAGCATGTGGAACCCTGCGAATTCCCCCACGGGGCGTGACAAAGTGCTCGCGACACCAGCCCCAGCACCCGCGACATACGCGGTGTAGAGGTGGCGCAGGTCGTCGGCGTCCATGACAGGGCTTTCATGGTTGCCAAAGGCCACGAGGAGGACACAGCCGACGATGACCACGCCCGTGGCGCAGAGGACGCGGCGCGTGGCCACCTCGCCGTTGATCAGGCGGGCGAACACCACGTTGGCCACGAACTGGACCACAGCCAGGGCGGCCAGCAGGGACTGTGCCGCAAAGGCAAAGGATAGGAAGTTGAGGACGTTGCCGGCGACGAAGAGCAGCATGCCGAGGAGCCACATGCACTGGCCGGGGCGGCGGAGGTACGCCGCCAGGGCCCTGCGGTGGGGCACAGGGATGGCGAGAGGGAGGAATGAGGGGGCCCTCAAAGGGAGGGCCCATAGGGAGATGGGTGGAACCGCCCATGGTTCACCAGTCCCTCTGGTACCCAGACTTGCCCTGAGCTCAACAAGGATGGTGGGCATGGTGCCGCAGCTGCAGCTGCTCGCGTGTGTCCTAGCTTTATGCAGTTCTGCAAGGGGAGGCGAGGCGGAGGTGGCGATGTAACCACCGTGCCGGGATATGTGCAAAACGGGTTTCGGCTTGCATTCGGGAGGCCCCCCCCGCAAAGCTGGAGCGTATCAACTCACTCTCAGCCCGCCCTCCCATCCTCACCGTTCCGAGATTGACAATTATGCCGCCTACAACATTAATAGCGGCCCCTATGGCCCATGTGCCCATGTCGGACCGGTGTATGCTGGTCCGATGGATCACCAGGAAAGCATGGTTTGCTAGGCTGCGGAGGCGGATGCAGGCGGAAGGGCCCCTGGTTTGCAGAAATCCTCGCACCAGATCTTCGAATACTCGACCACAATATTATCTCGAGTACTTGAGCACTGCATCGTGACACCGAGGCTGGCGGTTTACTGGTGGGTCGCTGTCTGTCACTGCCTTGAGCAGGCCCCAACCATAATGTATCCGGGGTCGAAGGAAGTGATCTGAGCTTTTTCCTGGAGATGGCAAGAGATGGCCCCCATGCCATCCTGCGTATTTTTCATCGGTCCACCAGACCATTGAATCCACACAGTCCATATTCAAAGCTCGTATGTAGACAAGCTGGCGTATTCCGGTGGCTCCGAGCGGGGCTCGGCACCCACGCTGGAGCAGGTCATAGGGGAGTTCTTTTTGAAAGGAGCACAGACGGTTCTCAGCGCCCGCCTGCCCCACGCGACCCCGTCCGACACCAAGGGGAGCGGCAAGAAGCGAGCATGGGTGAGCAGGTGGTGCGGGGCTATCGCGATGACCCTCGCGCCTTGCCACCCCTCTCGTTTGCCAGAACCAGCTGAACGCCTTCCGCGCCGTGCAGTTCAACTTGGAGCTGGACGAGGTCGAGTCGGCTAACAAGGAACTAGAGAAATGGCGACGCGATGCAGGCTTGCCACTCGTGGTGGAGGTGAGGGTGCTCGCATGGGGGATGGGGCTTCTGGGGGCGTGGTGGGTGAGAGGCGGGGGAGGGTTGGATCCGGGGTGCTGCGAGGTCCTCCTGCTCTCGGCGACACCGCTCCGCCCCCGCCCTTTCCACTTGAAGATCTTCTTAAGACCATGGGGAGCACAGGAAGAGAAGGTGGCACTGATGTCGGGTGACACTGGCTTAGGTAAGCCTTGCCTGAGAGCGTCGTGGTCGTCACGAACCAGGTCTTGTTGTCTTGTCTGGATGCACAGTCGTCTGCCTGTGCCTGTCGTATCCGCCTGTGATCCAGAACTGGAGAAGAAAGAGCTTGAGGGCCCACGTCCTCCTCCACACACCACAGTGGAGACGCTGCTGGAGCGCTGGGTCTTCCACCACCAGCAGCTCCTCCCCGACTCCCCTTCCTCCCTGTCCAAATCAGCGCTGGTGCGCCTGAGCCCCTCCTCTATCTACAAGCGCCTGGTCATCCTGCTGCGCTCCGTCTTCGCCCTCCTGCGCACCCTGCCCGCCCACAAGCTGTGCCGCGCCGGCGGCGCCGGCCGTCGCTCCGCCTTCTCGCTGGGCTACCGCCTGCACAGCAGCCTGCCCGGCGGCGCGGGGGAGGGCGGGCCGGAACGCTCCGGAAGTGGCGGTGGCGGCTCAGCGGGCGGGTCGTCCAGCGGCCCGGCGGGCCCCGGCGCGGCGCAGGCTCGCGCGCCCCGCGGCCTCGCGCGCTTCGCCTTTGCGCCGGCGGAGACGCCGTACGGCCGCATCCGGGTGTCGGTGGATTACCGCCCCGCCAGCGCGGTCACGGTGCTGGAGCAGACCAGCAGCGGCGCCGCGCCCCGCCTCATCATCCAGGACTACGTCGGCGGTGGCGGCGCGGCGGGGGCGCTGCGCGGGCGCGCCGGTCCGGCGGGCGCCTCCGCTCCACGCGCCGTGGATCGTGCAGAAGACAGGGGCGCGGCGGGCCCGCGCCATGCCCCGCTCCTGCCCAGGCCCTCTGCCCCCGCCGCCATGCCCGGCCTGGAGGCAGGGGCGGGGGGCAGCCCCAGGGTCGACCCCGGCCCGGGCCTGGCGCGCGCGGCCACGGCCGCCGTGGGCGTGGGGCCCGCGCGGGGAGCCGGACCCGCTGCCCATCGGCCGGGCGCGGCCCCGGCGCCCTCCCTCCGCCGCTCCAGCTGGTCCACGGGCGCGGCGCGCCTGTCCCCCTCCCGCCTGGGCGCCGTGGCCGCCCGCACCCCCGGGCACGCGGGCGAGGCCCCCGGCTCCGCAGCGTCGCCCGCGCCTGGCACCCCGCCCAGCCCCTGGGCGCACGCCGCGGGCGGGTCGGCGCCCGGCACGTCCGCCAGGCGGCACCCGCTGGCGCGCCCGCCGCGCGCCGCGGCGCCCGGCACCAGCCTTGACCGCCCGCAGCCGGCCTGGCACGGCTCCGCGCCCCAGACGCCGCCCCACCACGGATCGCACGACGGCGCGGGGCGCACGCAGGTGACCTGGGCGCCGTCGCCCGCGCGGGGGGGGAGGGGGGGGAGTCCGCGGGC